TGTGGCGTCCACGCGGGGCGATACTCACATGCAGGCTGGGGTGGTAGGTGAGCACACCGTTGTCGCACAGGGTGACATACTTCTTTTTCCACTCTTTGTTCAAGGATTTGCCACTCCGCTTCAGCAGCATGCCCTACGAGGAGCAAGGAGCCAAGTATAAATTAATAACGTCTCATGTGAACTTTTTTAAAAGAAGGCACATAGGTAATTTAAAAGATTTCAAACTTTCATTTTATCCTTGCCGTCTTAAAAGGAATTTGCACTTAATTTTAGCTTGGTGATTTGGTTTTCCCCTCTTTTATATACAATGTATATATTCGGCCCATTTCCTTTGGTGTGGATGTGCGTGTGGAACTTCACACAATACTGAGGCCAACAGGTGTAATCTCGGTGCCGCGATGTGCTACATTGTATCCTACGAGCACACAGGACGCCTGCAGGTGTGTTTTACAAAAGGAAACCTACTTCCCTTTTCTAAATAAGACATCAACGGTATTCTTACCTCGCGATATTTGCAAATGAGAACATTTTATTTTGAACTTATTAAATGAAATTCCGCTTGCAAACGTAGCGACAGCATTTAACACATGAATTGTGCGTAATTTACTTGAAATCTGTTTCTAATGAAATCATATCAGGGCTCCTTGAAAAGCATTCAAACTCGGAAACGAACACCACTGATCACGTTTACTCCAGTCTTCCTTAGATTACTGATGGGGATTTACTGCTGTTTTAACTGCCAATTCCCAGCCAACCTCTGCCCTTTCGGGGGTTAAGAAGCCAGATGGGCAGCTCGGACGTGAAGAGGTGGCGTCATCGGGGACCTAAAGGAGGCTGCTCTGTTTTGGTGCCAGGAAAACGAACTATCTTGGTGAAAGATAGTCCAAATCTCAACAATCTTACCTAAATTCTATGGTTCCCCGTGGAGGGTCCTCTCAATCGATATGTGTACTATTCAAATGCTGCAAAAGTCAGAGGGGCCCGAAGGATACCCTGGCATCCCAAGAGTTGTATTTCTAACCTTCAGCCTTGGCCCAGCTGGGTTATTACCCAACCCCTCCCGGTGCCCCCAAAAGACTGTGGAGACTGAGCCTCGGCCACCCAGTCCGCAGGTCACAGCTGCTCCCGAGTCCGGTGCCCGGTTGCCAGCCTGAGGCCGGGCTGCACCAGGTGACATACGTTCCTCCCTGTATGGCCTGAGTGCCAACGCATCGACGTGTTTCTATGCATGTCACGCTCTCTCTCTCTCTCTCTGGCTCCCCATAAGCAACAGGTAGGATCCCCTAAAGTGCCAAAAGAGCGTGAACCCATTGGCCCCCCTTGGGACAAATTTCTACCAATGCGACCAGAACGGTCCTCACTGCATCGGGCTGAGGCCCCCACGCTTCTGTCCTCTCAAACTTCCACATGTTCTACTCTGAGCACCAAGAAGATGGAAAACCCTAAAAATAGCTCATCTTAAACTCTGAAAGGCCGAGGAGCCGTGATCGCACCAGCCAGAAGACGACAGAGGCCAGAAGGCACTTAGCCAGGGACACACGGCAGGCTGCTCCCTTGGGCAAATGGAAATGGCCCTTGTGATTCTAAGTCTCTCTGATCCCGCATGACCCAGGGCCAAGCCACACAGGAGGATGTCACAACGCATCCGCGGTCTGTCCTTCAGATGCCACTTCTGAACATGTAAACCCATCCCCTGCTTAAGACGGCTTCTCACCGACTGGCCATCACAGTGCAGGCGTCAATCACAGTTAATGCTCGATTTGACTCTCATGTGACCTCCACATCTATTTTTAAAAAAATTTTTAAATTTCAAAAAAATATTGGGCTCATTGTGAGCCAGGGGCTGCTCTGAGAACCTTCTGTATTAACCNAATTTTAATTTCAAAAAAATATTGGGCTCATTGTGAGCCAGGGGCTGCTCTGAGAGCCTTGAGTATTAACCTGCTACAAGCTTATGGTGGAACTTAAGTTTATCTCCATTTTACAGATGAGGCCACTGAGGCAGAGAGAGCTTAGGTAACTTCCCCAATGTGCACAGCCAGCCTGGTAGCTGGCCTCCCAACATGCCCAACCGGTGCGGCTCAGTTAGTTGAGCATTGTCTATGCACCAAGAGGTCGCTGGTTTGATACCCGGTCAGGGCACATGCCCGGGTTGTGGGCTCGATCCCCAGTAGAGGGCATGCAGGAGGCAGCCCTTTGATGTTTCTCTCTCATCGACATTTCTCTCTCTCTCTTCCTCTCTCCTCCTCTCCCCACAAAAATCAATAAAAACATATTTTTTTAAAAAAGAGATGGCTCCCAACACCCCATGAGTTGCAGTACTCGTGTCCCCNCTTTGATGTTTCTCTCTCATCGACATTTCTCTCTCTCTCTCCCTCTCTCCTCCTCTCCCCACAAAAATCAATAAAAACATATTTTTTAAAAAAAGAGATGGCTCCCAACACCCCATGAGTTGCAGTACTCGTGTCCCCATGTGAACTGTCCTACCCTGACTTGGAAATGCCCAGACTCGCATTAACCAACAGACCCAGCGTGAGTGATGCTACTATACTGGTTGGAACCTCCAGGAGCGCTGGCAGCTTCCTCTGGGGAGCTCTGATCGAGAAGCCGAGCTGTGCCCTGTCCATAGTTCTGAACCACCAAAGAACAAAATAACAGTTTCAGCAAATGGGTAAGTTTTGCGGTAGATCCTTAGGCAACAATAAATAAAAACAGAGCCGGCATCCTGGACTGCTGTAGCAAAAATAAAACCCACGTGGCACAGGCCTGGGAGCAGGCGGCCGGCTGAGGTTGGCGGTGGGTGTGGGGGCTGAGCTGTAGAGGAGGCCGGGAGGGGGTGAGGAATATGCTACCCGAGGTTGGAGACGGCAGCGAGTTCTGCTCTGGCGGCAGAATGATCTCAGACCCGCTGGCCACGGGGATGCACAGCAGCCCGGGTGCAGACCTGGCTGGGGAGGTTTCTGGGCAGACTGGCTGCTGGTTCTGATAAACCCGGGAGAAGGGAGTTTTCAAGCAGGATTAGAAAAAATACTTCCAATGTAAAAGCCATGCTGGGCTGGACCATGAGAAAAATCATGTCGCAACCCCAGCTTCCCCTGCCCATAGAAGACTCCGACAAGAACTGGCCTCAGGGCGAAGTACAATCCAGGGATGTCAGTAGATGTGACCTCAAAACCATCAAGGGTCTGGAGGCCGGACCCGCCTCTCGAGAACTCACCAAGATTGAAGGCAGGGCCTCATGGACCCATCCAATCAGAGGAGGTTTGCGGATTAGAGATAAGGAGCTGTGGGTCGGCTTTTGTCTAATGGAATGGATGGCCATTTGATACAAAGGAAACCCGCGAGGCTTTTAAAGGAATTATACCAGGTAGGACTCTTTTCATGTTGGGCCCTCGGCCTAAGTGCAGCAGGTAACAGGGTGAGGAAGACACACAGCTGTGAAAATAGGCCACGTCTTATGGAGAAGGGCGGTCGGCTCAGAGAGCAGAGCCCAGGACCAAGGGGGATGGCCACCCTCACTCAGAGCAGAGCACACTCCCTGTGCCCGGAGCAGGACGGTTAGAGCCTGTGCCCGCTGGGCTCAGAGGTGCTGTGGGCCAGTGTCTGCTACAGGGCTCTTGTCCGTGTCGGCGCTGTGGCTGTGTGTGTGTGTGTGTGTGTGTGTGTGTGTGTGTGTGTGAAGAGAACTCGTCTCCCAAGTTCCCTGGTCTTTGGACCGAAAGGATCAGAACTGAGGAGCCTCATTCACATGTGCACTTGATGTCGACAATAATCCTGAACTTCCAGCCAGATGCTGTGATGGGACTTTGTGAATCTGGGGAAGGGTGAGGGTCTTCCGTGTGTGGGAAGACAGACAGAAGTAGCCAGTCTCCAAAGATGACCCTCAAACACCCAGCGCCCGGTGTGGCCCTGGGCCCTCTGACTCCACTTAACCAACGGAATGTGGTGCGATTACGCTGCACCCAGTCCAGCCGACACCTTCGGAGGCCTGGCCGCTCCCGTTTCTATGCCTTGGGAGCCCAACAGCCTTATGAGAGATGGATGTTCCCGCTGCAGAGGCTGGGGAGAGAGAGGCCCTGGGCTCTGAGCTCTCACAGAGCTGCCGCCGACCGGCTGCCAACAAACGCGTGAGTGAGGAGAGGACCCAGCCCTAGGAGGCATCTTGGGGAGCAGACACGAGCTGTCCCCAGTGTGCAGGCCCAAACTCCTGGCCCACAGGATCCTGAGAGATAATGAAATGGTTGTGGGGGTTTTTCTTTTTTTTTTCTTTTTGTTAATCCTCACATAAGGATATTTTTCCCGTTGATTTTTAGAGAGTGTGGGGGGGAGACACACTGATGGGAGAGAGGCACATTGATTGGTTGCCTCCCACACGCACCCCACCAGGGCCGGGGATTGAACCTGCAACCCCTTGGTGTGCAGGCCGATGCTCTAACCGCTTAGCAACACTGGCCGGGGCGAAATGTTTATGGCTTCACATCACCATGGTTTGGGTTGATTACCAGCAACAGGAAACCATCGAGACAGAGCAGGAGCACCGTCTCTATGCGTCACCCCGACGCTTGGCCGCACCCCCCCCCC